CACGCCGCCTTTACTTCCCCAACTCGAAACAGGTACCCATTACTTCGGAGACTAACGCACTAACCGCTCTGCCACCGCACCTCTTAATAATAATAATTTTATTTAAAAAATGTTTTAAGCTTTCAGGTGGAATCAATAAATCAGTTTCGTCAAAAAGTGGATATACATGTACTTTCTTTTCAAAATAGAACTCCAGACTGGCTCTAAAAAGGTTCCCCGAGACCCTGAATTCTCACCTGTAACTGGCTCTCTGGCCACAAAACCCTATATTCTCACCTGTAAGTGACTCTAAATACTGGACACAAGACCCTATGGCATTCTCACCTGTAACTGGCTCTCTGGCCGCAAGACCCTACAATATTCCCATCTGGGGCTGGCTTTAAATACTGGCCAGAAGACCCTATGAAATTCTCACCTGTAGCTGGCTCTCTGGACACAACACCCTATGACATTGTCACCTGTAGCTGGCTCTCTGATCACAAGACCCTATGACATTCTCACCTGTAACTGGCTCTAAATAGTGGACACAAGACTCTCTAATATTCTCACCTGTAGCTGGCTCTCTGGACACAAGACTCTATGACATTCTCACCTGTAACTCTCTCTCTGGACACAACATCCTATGACATTCTCACCTGTAGCTGGCTCTCAAAACTGTCCCCCATGTCCTCCAGAGCGGCGGACAGGTTGCTGAGAATGCCCTCTCTCTGTCCCTCCACCGCCCTCGCCACGTCCTCCATAATGCTCTGTCTCTGCGCGCGCAGTCTCCGAATGCTCTCCATCCTGTTCCCCTCCACGATCTCACTCAGCGTGTTCAGCGTGACGTCATTCTTCTTGTAGATGGTCGCCGGCAGGCTCTTCTGCCAGTTGAAACTCTCCTGTGACGTCAGGCTGATGACGTCACAGCGGTATTCGCCGATCGTGTCCTTTGTCGCCACGGGCCAGGTGAGTCGCAGAAAGCTGTTGTAGAGAGAGGACTTGTTGGCTTCTGCCTTCACACCCTGGAGTGTCTGCGTGACTTCCGTGTCGTCATCACGAAGTTCCGCGACGCTGGTCCAGCCTGTGACGCTTTTCTTCAGCATTCTGATCATGACGACTTCCACGACGTCGTGTTGGTGGTAGTTGTCGGTGCACTCCAGGCTCACGTTTGTCGTCTTCCCGACCACCACCTCGTCCGTGGTGACGTTGAGCAGCACGGCGCGGGAAGACATAAGCCCGGCCGCGGCCAGCAGCAGGTACACTGACGTCATGCCGAGACCCATGGCCACGACAACTCAGAGGGTTGCACTGGTTACAGAAGATGTCTAGATATCTAGATGGCTTTGGCGGGTAATCCTCGAAGGAAAATAGAAATTTTTTAAAAAATCAATGATTTAGTCAAGAAATTATGTTTTGAATTTTTTCTTAGGTGAGGCGGCGTGGTGAAATTCGGCGCTAGTCAAAATAATGAAATCAAAGAAACGGCATTTTTGTGCATCCCATTTGGCAATTTGTGTCGAATTTTAATTTTTTGACTCAACACCTTTTACGTCCACTTGAAAAACATTTGCTGTGTCGCTTTTTACTGAAAGAACGTTGATTAAAGGCACAAACAATGCAAATTTACAGTTGTCAAGGACTTTCAAGGTTTAGAAGTCACCAAACTTTGAGGACCATTTTCTTTTTTCTTTTACCTCTGAAAACACATGACCTCCAACTCCTTCAATCCAAAATATCTCGACTTCTATTAATAAAAGATATATGGATATTTTAAAAAACCCACGAAATCGAGTAATACCAAAACCTCCATATGCCCAAAATATTGACGAGCGCCTGATTCCACTGCGTCGTGTCACAAATGTAGGTGTTTTTACGCCCACATCGACATAATTTAGATCATTTAGGAGGCGGGCATCCGATCCGGCCTGTCAGAGCCAGTCAAGGTTGAGAGGGGCACAGCATCCCAGTTGAAAGTTTTAGTTTTAATAGAGGTTTTACAGCGCTCGCAACTGCATAAGGTCATATGGGCGCCAGGAGATTAGAGTTAGAGGTTTTACAAGAGAGTGACAAACGTAAAAAAGAAGAAGGGGAGATAAGGACGATAGATGTTTGATAGGAAAGAAGAAGAAAACCACACCAGAGCACCCGCCAACCACCCACCCAGCAGAAAGACCGAGATACTCGATTTAAAAAAAAATAACAATAAAAATAAATACATAAATTTCCCCACTCGAAAATCGAATTCCGGTCTCCTGCGTGCGACAGCGAAGCGCTTAACCACTAAACCACAGACGCCGGTTAAATATTTTTTTTTTTACGCACTGTCAAATCAAGATGAAAATGTTCCAAGACTTGGTTTTAAACTCCTTTCTATGCCTCGTAGCGTCCCTTCCATACTAAAAAAAAGTCAAACTTACGTCAGATAGATAAGAGAACTAGTTTTATATCGTTGTTTTTTGAGTCGAGGTTTTACGGCTTTTATATCGTCTGGAAGTTGTTAAAATGCCCAAGCCTAGACGGCAAAATTTTACAGGAGAGATTTGAAAAAAAAATGCTTGTTTTTCTCTTAACAGTTGCGTTCCCATTATGTTGCACATTTAGGTTATGAGATGCGGCAAAATATTAATTCTTACGCTCATGCAACCGATGCCAAAGATATAAAAAAAAACTGCAATTGAAAACAAAATTCCTAAATTTGTGGTTTAGTGATGATAAGCTAAATGACACGAATGGGCCACTCAAAGTAATAATAATAATCATAATTTTTAAAAAAAGTTAATAATAATC